GAACTCACGACCTTGCGCTTGCCAGGCAGGCGCTTTTGCCGCTGAGCTAAATCCCCAGCCCCAGATCATTATATTTTAATAAATAACTCTTACATAGATGTCACTTCTTTGAAACTCTCTTGTGAGTGTTACTATAATGATATTTATTGACAGCTTACCATGAATCACAACAAAGCACTATAGATCTACACTCTGTTCAATCCTCAGAACTCTATGTGAAGTTACTGTTATCATTGCCATCTTTTTATGAGGAAACTAAATTTTTATAGAGGCTCAAAAAGGTACCTAGAGTCACACAGCTAGGAAGTGAGTGAAACAAGACCTAGACTGAGGCAATCTAATTAGCCCCTCTACATTAGTGGCACTCTTCATTGCCAGTAATTGGCTTTGATCTCCCTCTCTAAATGTTCCCCCATCGACTTCAGTTTAGGTAGAAAGGTCAGAGGAAGATGGCAGATTGATACCTTTCCTTTCATGCGTATTCTTTCAGTAGAAGCTGAAATAGAAAAAGCCTGACAACTCACTATCCCTCTCTTCCTCCCTCTCCTCTTCTCTCCCTTCCTCTTTTTCTTTTTTTCAGTGCTGTGGATTGAACACCTGCACGTGCTAGGCAAGCACTCTGCCACTGAGCCACTATATCCCCAGCCCTGCATGGAAACGTTATAAATTTCCACAGTCTGTTCTCTTTATGATATTTAATTCTTTTTTTTTTTTTTTTAGTGCCTAGCACTGTCAAAAATGTTCACATTTCTCCCAGTGGAGCAACAGATAGCCTGATGGTGACCTGGACCCCTGGCAGTGGAGACGTTGACTCTTACGTGGTGTCTGCATTCAGGCAGAATCAGAAGGTTGAGTTTCAGACCATCCCCAAGCATGTTTCAGAGCACACATTCCACAGACTGGAGGCGGGAGAACAGTACCGGATCGTGATTGCCGCCATCAGCGGGTCCCTGAGGAACGAGATAGGTGCATTTGGGCGGACAGGTGAGCGTCCACTTGCAGAAGGGCCATGTGGTAGAACGCCGCATGGTTTCCTGTAATAGAACAGTGAGTGGGCCTAGCTGTGTACAAATCAATAAGTTCAAATTTTACACCTCCCAGGATTGTGAAGTTCGTGATAGTTTCAAGAGCCTTTCTCATTTTTTCTTTCCATTTTTCTTAGTGATTTTCAAAACAAATGAAAGTAAATGGGAACCAAATCACTCGAATAAATTTTTATACTTGCTAAAGGGTATAAATTTTTAATATTAACAAGAACACGATGCACCTTTCAAAATTTCATGTTTTCTTCAAAATTATTTTTGAAGGAAAAAATATACCTTGCCATCTGCTGTACCTGTGATAACTATCAAGTGAACTGTATCTATTTGTTTGTCAGTGTCATCATTAGTATATTATTTTTAAAACAAAAAATAAGTACTTACAAAATGCCAGGCATTTAAAATAATATCTAGTTATACTGCAAGATCACTGTCTCCGTCTTACAGATGAGAAAAATAAGACTCTGAGAGTTTATTCAACATCAGCACGTGAACGTGTAATAAGAACTAGAGCTATAATTTCAACCTAGGTCCATCCGGCTCCAAATCCCATTCCCTGTCTTCCGTAATACAATATTTCTTAGATGCCTCCTATTCTTTTGACGATTTATTTAGCAGCAGGGCTTATGGCCTCTCAGCCATGCCCTACTATGCATGTAATTCATATCTATAGCTATACTAGATGCATCTAACCTTATGTAGCACTATATTAAAAAGTGAGAATTCATTAGGAAGACAGAGCTGCTGACCTAAGAACTTTATAATCTAATGAAGAAGATAGAGGAGTGAAAAGGCAATTATTATACAAGTTTTTGATCTTCTGGGAGCAAAGAAAAAGTCAAGGAAGGCTTCTAAGAGGCAGTAATGTTTACACAGACACCAAGAGGTCTGCCAGATGAAGTATAAGTTCACTTCGCTCCAGCAGAAAAAGCAAAGATCTAGAGGCGAGAGGGCACACATGTCATTTAGTATGCTAGACTAAAGAATGCGAGCCGTGTGTCTGGGTAAGTAGACAAACCAAATCATGAAGGGCCTTGTGTGGCTGGCAAAGTGTTTTAGAATTATAGGAAGCCACAGAATGCCCTTCGCATGGAATAGCCGTGGGAATATGCTAAGTGTGGCGTGGAATTTAAAACAGTGAGAGTAATGAAGCGTGCAGAGGAGTTTTGCAATAATGTATGCAACAGATAGCACTGTCCTAATATAGCGACAGGAGGGAAGGAGAGAGGAGAAAGATGCAAAGGAAAAAAGAATAAGGATACAGACACTTTGAGATCTATGTTTGATTCTATGTGGAATGGTGAGAGCGACAATCTACGTTTCTGACTTGGGCCAAAAGAAAGACACAAAAGATAGAAGATTGGGGCAGGGAGATGAGGAGTTCAATCTAATTCAGTCTGATCTGATGTAATCTAACAGTTTTTCTCAATCAGTTACTTTACCAGAAGTGATTGAATTTTCTTGCTTCTCTTGTTTCATTGTAGTTCCAGCGTCTGTCCAGGGAGTAAGTGCAGACAATGCATATAGCAGTCATTCCTTAATAGTAAGTTGGCAAAAAGCCACTGGCGTGGCGGAAAGATATGATATCCTGCTTCTAAATGAAAATGGGATCCTTCTGAGCAACACATCAGAGCCAGCTACTGCTAAGCAGCACAAGTTTGAAGATCTAACCCCGGGCAAGAAATACAAGATACAAATCCTAACTGTCAGTGGAAGTCTCTTTAGCAAGGAAGCCCAAACTGAAGGCCGAACAGGTAATTAGTCACCCTCCGCCAATGTACTTCAGTGTGTTTAGTTTTGCCCAGATAATAATAATTCCTGGTCAGATCTGGTTGCTCCTGTCACAGAGAAGGACTGTCACTGTGATGCACATTGTATAAACCAATCCCCACTGACAAGCCATTCTGCCTCTGGACTTCCTGCTTGCTCATCCAATGTAAGTCCCAGAGCACCAGAGATCAGGGTTTGATATTCTGGGAATGATCCTGATCAGTGCCCATCGACATAAATAAATCTGCCTCCAAATCCTGTGCATCATTTCAGTGTTTCTGCTTGCCATTGCAGTGGTACCCCCCAAATACATATAATTATTGTATATTGATAAAAACTAAGTTTTTTTTAAAAGGTAGATTTGCCTTGATATGATCACTATACATTATATATACATATATATTAAATTATCACACTGTACCCATAAACTTGTACAATTAAAATAGTAACGACAAAAGTTTAAAAAGCTGAGGTTGTAGCTCAGTGTCAGAGCATTTGCTTAGCATGGGTGAGGCCCTGGGTTTCAAGAGGGAGAGAGAGAGAAGAGAAAGAGAGAGAGAGAAAGAGAGAGTGCTACTCTTTTCATCAGAAAAAAACCTTGTGATTGCATTGGTCACCCTCTGACAGTCCAATCTTCCCGTCTCAAGATTTGTAACTTCATCACACCTACCAAGTCCCTTTTGAACATATTCACAGGTTCTGGGCATTAAGACAAGTATTTGGGAGGCCATTTTGTGACTACAGTAGCCTAACTGGGTACTTATTTAGTAAGTGCCTACGTCTGCAGGAGGCTGGTAATAATGTTAGGGACAGAAAGACAAATTGTGCTTCTTATCCTCACAGAAAGGACTGACTGGTGAGGGGGACAGACACATGAACAATAATGATGATAAGCTGTGATAAGGATTGTGTGTAAAAGAGGAAAGTCCTACACTGGGGAAAACATAGACATTGGGTAGAATTGGGAACTACTTTAAAAAGTAACATTTCTGGATAGTCATGAATGACAAAGCGGTTCTGCATGCAGACACAAGGTGAGAAGGCAGCCTGTGCAGACGGACTAACCTGTACTGAGGCCAGTGGGCAGGAGAAAGAGAAGCAGTTGTGACTGAAGTGTGTACCACATGCCACAGAGCTGAAGTTGCTAAGTCAGATTGGGGCCAAAGTATACCTTTCCTCAGGGGTTTAGCTCTCTCTCTTTTTTTTTTACTTGTAAGCAGTGAGAAAGCAATAAAATCTCAGCCAAAGAGTAATCATTTTGTAATAAAAATTTGTACCTTAGAAAAAATAAGTCAGCTGGCAATGGGAAATAGATTAAATGGAGAAGTTACCAGAGGAAGGCACACCTGTTCATTAATTTTGTCATGACTGAGTAACTACTACATGTTCACACTGTTCCGACTGCTGGGTACACAGAAGTAAATTAGCAACAACTCTCAGAGTCATAAAGTTTTTATGCTAGTAAGGGAGGAAGGCAGTAAACAAAATGAGCAAAATATATAAGAGATTCAAGGACAAGATCAAAGCCAGAGAGTGAGACAGCAAATGCCGGGGACTATAACTTTAGATAGTGCAGTCCTCAAAGACTTCAATGAGAGTGTGTTATTTGAGTAAAAATCTGAAAGAAGTGACAAGACCATGCAACTGTCTCACAAAGAGTATTCCAATGCAGATCCAGCGGTCAGGCCAAGACCCTGAGTGGGCAGACCCCTGATCTATCAGAAGAAGAGTAAAACGGCTCGTGTGCCTGCCACAGAGTGAGTGAGAACAAGAGGAAAGAAGAGCGAGTCAGAAAGGTCATGAGCATCACAAGACAACTGCAGGAAAAGAATAATAAGGGTCCCGGATGAAAAGTAGTGGCTATAGTAAAGAAATATGCCTGCATTGTTAAAGTGGTACATGATGGTTATGTTCATTATAAAAGGAGAAATAGTAGATTCCAGTTTCCACCTGGGGTGTCTGGTGGAAGGTAATGTCATTAATTAGGAAAGAGAAGCAAAAGGAATGAGGGTCAAGGAGAAATCTTTTCAGGTCTATGTTCAGCTGGAGATATCTGAATGATTGCAAAGAGAGGGAATCATAGGCAAGTGGGAAAAAGTTGATCTGAGCTCAGAAGAGAAGTGAGAGGGACAGGAAGGTTTGGTCCAAAATGCCAGTTAAATCCACCAAGGGAATGAGGTTAATTGCTTAGCTAATGTTATAAAATAGGAAAGGGACAAAGGGTGGAACTGTGGAAAATATCAACTTTTAGGGGATTGGAATAAGGAGAGGATAAAGCAGAAAACAGCAAAAGAAAGAGTATTTGGGGTAAAAGGAGGAGAATCCAAGTGAAATCAACAGGTGTCCTGTTCTGTTTCCATGGGCATCTTATGATGTCCAAGGAACCAAGCTGCATGTGTGCCAGCAGTCTGAAAGTAGGTCATTTCTAGCAGCTATTTTTAATGGCTTTGGCTTTCCATATTGCTTCTCTTTCCCATATCCCTAAATCCAGTTTTCTCTATTTGTTTTTCCCCTTTGTTGCCACCCACTCTCCTCTCCTTACAGTTCTTCCTTACTTCCCATAACCTTAGTCTGTCCATCTCTGATCCAGTTCTCAGTATTAGAGAAATATTTAGTCACCTAGGTTAGATTAATATTTGTTCTAAACCAAAACAAAAACCTATGAAGATAATTTCTGTTGGGGTCTGAATCTGGAATGTGCTCCCAAAGCCTCAAACACTCAGAGGCCAGGCTTTTGGAAGGTGATTGGGTCGTGGCAGTGCTATACTCATGGGTGGATTGTCCACCAATGGCTTCATAGCTGACATGTTGTTCAGAGCTAGGACCTGGTTGGAGGAGGCGCATCAGCGGGCACATGACCCGGAAGGGTATAGCTCTCTCCTCAGCTCCTCTCTTCTTGCTCTGTTTCCTGGCTACCATGGAGTAAGTGGCCTCCCTCCACCCAGGCCTTTCCACTGTGACGATTCCGCATTTGTACCTGATGAACATGGACTGAAACTTCTGAAACCGTGAGCCTCTCCTCCCTTAAGTTGCAAGTGTCAGTTATTTATCCCAGCAACAAGGAAAGGGACTAAGCCAGTTTCCCCTTACTGATGTGTTTGGTTCTCTTGTGTATTTTTTTTTTAAATAATAGTTTCAGCATCAGTAATTTTCAAACTTCCAGATTTCCTTTCTTTTCCAGTCTCTATGGAATCAATATTTTTTGTTGTTTTTGTTTTGGACATGAAGTAGGATGTACTGGAAGGCATGACTAAGGAGGCAGCAGCACAGTAGATGCCTTTATGAGTGCAGGGCCTGCCATTCATTCAAGAGACCATGACAGAGGATGTATCTGATCCCATAGCCTCTGGGGACCAGCCACCATGACTTCGGGTTCATCCACATTAAGCTTGGTGAAGCCTCATTTCTTTGAGATATAGATTGAACCTGATCCTGCACAGGGCCTCAATCAAAACTTGTTCTACAGTTTGGTGTGGATAGACATGATGACTTGGCCAATGTGAACCCAGGCCACCATGCCTGGGGGCTTCCTTAAGGGACCCTGTGTTCCTGTCTGAAGTCTACACTGGGAATAGCATGAGATCACAGACGTGAACATCCACTGGAAAGGGTTGTTTCCAAGGTCCTAAGAGTTCCCCATATAAGAAACAGGGACAAACACTATCAAAAAGGGTGCTTTCTTTACAGCCAATGAAAGTCAACTTATTTTAATGCGGGGACCTTGGGTTGAGGGCATCTACCCAGGCATTGATCTTAGGCTACAGCAGTGGCACACCAGAACTCTGTCTTATTCTTTCTGCCTTTACTTTTCCAGTGCCAGCAGCTGTCACCAATCTGAGGATCACAGAAAACTCCACTAAACATCTATCCTTCAGCTGGACTTCCTCAGAGGGGGAACTCAACTGGTACAACATCTTTCTGTACAACCCAGATCGAACTCTTCAAGAAAGAGCACAAGTTGACCCACAAGTCCAGAGCTTCTCTTTCCAGAACTTACTGCAAGGCCGAATGTATAAAATGGTGATTGTCACTCACAGTGGGGAGCTGTCTAATGAGTCATTCATATTCGGGAGAACAGGTAAGACTCACTGGGACCCAAGCAATGGTGCATACCAAGGAAGCTGTGTTCACTGGCTCTTTCTTGACTTATTCTGGCTTTCCTACTCCACCCAGGGGTAGTTTTATGATGTTTGTGACCTTCAGGCTTTTAGACCCTAAATTATATTTTTGATTATGTGTGAGTAATTTGTGAGAAATTTCTGTACTGGCTTCTGCTCTTTTGCCTCACTTATTTACCTCATAGGATTTGGTGAAAAATGAATCTGGCTCCTCTACTTCCCAGCAAACTATACAAGAAGGTTGTAACCCATCATGGTTCTATTCAATCAATGCTCTTTGGCTTTCTACAAGAAGCAAATGGAACAGAGGCAGGTCCAGAGAAGGGCAGCCACAAATTGGACAAACAAAATGACTGAATTGAAAACATAGTAGAACATAAAAGAAAATGAAGGGTTTCAAGAAGTGAGAGAGGGAAAGGGAGACAGAGAGAGACAGAGGTCTCTGGGCTGCACATGAGAAATGGAATCACCTCTTTTTACATAACTTCAGTCCTTTTCCTCCTATTCAGCTCTTTTTGTGGTTTGACAATTGTGTCTGAGTGCTCTTATGTGCCAAGCATGTGGCGCATTACTGAGATGCAACAGTGAACAAGGCAGACAAGATCTCTTCTTTCCGAGAGCTCTACATTAAGGGAGAGAAGAACTAGGACAGTAAATTGAAAAGAGATAGCACTTTGGAACGCCTTAAATTCTATGAAAGAAATTTAAAATGTGTCAGGACAGTGACTTGGAAAGACAAAACAACGCTTTAAACAGGAGGGCATTTCAGCTGAGACAGGAAGGTGCAGGAGGCGTGTGAAGAACATAGCCTGAGAGCACCAGCAGAAGTTCTTTTTGAAAAGATGAAAAAGAGCAGTGATAAGCTTGGAGCAGAAATCGAACTGCCCAGATGTTACCATTTCCAAGGCAGCCTGCCCCGTCCCACCGCTCGGACCTGCTCATTAATCTGCAAAGTTACCCCAAAGAGAGCAACACCTTCACTGTCTGAAGAATAGCAAAGCTTATGTACCCAAAGAGCTGGTGGGGGGGGGCAGTGTGACTAATTTATACTTGCAAAGTGGGAGGAGTGGCTAGGGAGTCTTTTCTTAAATGAAGATAGAGCAGTGCAGATTCTGATGAAAAAGCTGAGAGCCCAAAGGCAAATGAACAGGAAACAGAGACTCGGTGAGAGGTACTGTGTGATCGAGGCTGCCAGCAGGCCGGGTCAGGACGGGAGGAGGTGGAACCATTCATGAATATTTTTGGGGCCTTTTATAACCTAACGGGTGAATCACTTGCTTAGTATTAAACATTAATGAAGATTTTATTGTACCGCTTTATCAAAGTGCAAGCGTATAGAAGTCACCACCTGTTTTGTTTCCTTTTGCTTCGCTTTAATTTGTACATCACTAGCCACCATGCCTCTCAATACGCGTGGCGTGAATGAGGTTAAGGGCTGACCCCACAATGTGTACTGCTCGCTTATGTGCCCAGCGCAGTGTAGATTCTCACCTGTAGGCCAAAATGCCTTTGGCTCTGCTCTGTTCTCAGTAAGAGATTTTTTTTCTGTTTAAGTCCCAGCCGCTGTCAGCCATCTCAAGGGATCTAATGAGAACAGGACAGACAGCCTTTGGTTCAGCTGGACTGCAGCCCCTGGGGACCTCGACTTTTATGAGCTGATTCTCTACAATCCCAATGGCACCAAGAAGGAGAACTGGAAACACAGGGACCTCACAGAGTGGCGTTTTCACGGCCTGGTCCCTGGGAGGAAGTACACACTGTGTGTGGTGACTCATAGCGGAGATCTCAGCAACAGGATCACAGGGGAGGGCAGAACAGGTGAGAAACTCAGTCGCCAGTGGCCAAGTGTTGCAGGGAAGTAGCTTTCTTTTAATTGAAAGACATTTTAAATTATGGTCTTAATAATAAATAAAATTAGCAATGATGTGCTATGCACTAACTTTTACAAAGGCATTATGGTACAGTGGATAAAAGATACACACTGTAATAAAAAAGAATTAGGCCCTTAACTTAGCACTGCCACTAACCTATATGAAGCTGGTAAGTCACTGGACCTCTCTAAACCTCAGTTTTCATATCTGTAAAGTGGAAATAATGATATACATCATTATGTTGCTATGACCTGTGATTCCTAAATGTTTTTACATCTTAGGCACACACTGATAGTATCTGTATGCCATCCTGGGGTCAATCAGTGCCACTCTGGGGTCAGTTAATACCATCTATAACTGGGCACAATTATCTATGAATCCACATCCTTGAACCCCAAAACCTAATGGAATCAACAATTTCCCACAACTATTACCCATTCAGGGCACAGTAATGCTCTGCAGTACCCTGGTAAGGAAGTTCTGATCATGAATACTGAAAGGCACATAATACACTTATGGACAGTGCCTTATACATGGTAAATAGTATAACTTAAAGCTCCTACTGCTCTTTTACCAAACTGTATTTTCCTACAAAGTGCATTACAATATATCTGATGTCATTCAGTGATCTTCTTTGTATATATTGAGCACTGATGTGGTTATGTGGCTTTTTATTTCCTACACACAGCCCCAAGTCCTCCCAGTCTTCTGTCATTTGCTGATGTTGCAAATACATCCTTAGCCATCACCTGGAAAGGACCCCCAGACTGGACAGACTACAGTGACTTTGAGTTGCAATGGCTCCCCAGAGATCCGCTCACAATCTTCAATCCCTACAGCAACAAAAAGTCAGAAGGACGCATTGTGTATGGTCTTCGTCCAGGGAGATCCTATCAGTTCAGTGTCAAGACTGTCAGTGGTGATTCCTGGAAAACCTACAGCAAACCAGTTTCTGGATCTGTGAGGACAAGTATGACATGTTTTTCTACTCTTGAGTTTTAGATGGAGTGAGAGGAAATATATACTCAACAAGGCTTGATTAGAATCCACATTTTTATTTGGGATTCATTGGATTTGAATGCAGACAGATGAGAATATAATTTTTTTCATTCAGTAAACATGAACTGGACAGTAAATAATTCTGCTCAAGTGGAGCTTTGATTGAGGGTATTATTACTATTAAAAAGACAATTAGATTTTGGATGCAGTGTGGGGAAAAAATAGTACTATCAAGGGAGCTTCCTAGAAAAAGAAACATCCAAATCAAAACCTAAAGAAAAATTCACCTGCTAGAAGTGGTAAAAATAAGTGGAGAATATTCCAGGTAGAGAGAACAAAATATTGCAAGATCAAGGGACAAAAGAAAGTTTATCTGGCCAGAGCCCGAAAGATGAGGATAAAGACCATCAGATTGTAAAATGTCTTGTATGCTGTGGTGTCCACTTTGAACTTTATCATCAGAAATTATGCTTAATCATATCAGAAAGTCACTCCAGGTGCACAGTAGAGAACAGATTGAAAGGAACAAAACTAAAAACAGAGAAACCAATTTATATCCAGTAAATGTGGCTTTCAAGATTGGCTCAGATCATTATTGGCTGTCAATAAAATACATAGTTTCATTTATTCAATAAACATTAACTCTGAAACAGGCATAAGTTGTGTTCCACCTTGTATCCAAAGAGCAGTATGGCATCAGATCGTTGTGTTTGAGAAAGAACTAAGAGTTTTAGTTTATAGCAAGCTCGGGCTGAATTCTCAGTGACTTACTACAGTCAAGGTCTGTTCAGTCTGCTAAGCAGAACACCGTCTACTGATTACCAAACCTAGGACAGAACTTCAAGCATTTCTGCTCCTGGCATATTGGTATTGCAGTCATGAAGGGAAATGCAGAATAGTCAAGCCTAGGGCAGAACAAAGTTTTGCTCACATAGAGAGGAGACCGAGAAAGACCAGATTGAGTTTTCTGCATCAGTCCCTCCCAGACACGTCTCTCCCAGCCACTGGTGCAGACTAACTGACTATGTGCACCCTTCTCAGGCTGTAGTAGAAGCATCTTCTGTCCACTGCTCAGAAGACATATGTAGCATGGTGTTGGTCTGATACCATGTGATGCACATGCGTAAGCAGAAAAAGAGCGTGCATCGACATTAAGCTCAAAACAAGGGAAGGTATTCCCACAATAAGTGATCAGCTCGGCACAAGCCACCTGAGAAAAATTCCAGGCCCAGGGTCCATTCTTATTCAGCCACAAGGTGAGCTTAAAGAAGGACCTGAGACTGCCTTTCCCAACTGTGTCTGAGGAGCTCCATTTAGAAGCTCATTCAACACTGGTGGAGAGTGGGCTTGTACATCACATCTGGACTGTTACCATCTGCACTGTTATAGTTCAGGCCCTGCATATTAGAATTTAATACAGGCATTTACCAAATGAGGCATGCTCCAGAGGACACTAGTAATGAAGAGGTAAGACCTAATGAAGAGGCAACGTTGCCATGTTGTGTTTTATAAGAAATAACTATTCGTGCCTGACTCCCTCTCTCTCTCTCTCCATTTCTTTTTTTCTTTCCTTTCTCTCTCTCTCTCTCTTCCTTCTTTTCAGTTCATTCATTCTTTCCTTCCTCCCTTCTTTCCTTTGGAAGACTGTTTTAGAACTAGGCTTGGCTGTAGGTAATAGAAATCCCAAAATGAGAGGCTTAAACAAAACAGAAGTCTATAATTCTTAAATGAAATCATTAGACGAGCTGGGGCTATAGCTCAGTGGTACAGTGTTTGCCTAGCATGGACAAGACCCTAGGTTCCCTCTCAACACTGAAAAAAAAAAAGGAAAGGAAAGTAAAAAATCATCTCTGTACTTAGATTACGCTCCAACCATGATGAACAAATTGTAGGTCTTATGTTTGTTTATTGTCATCTTTGCTTCTCTATAGGTTTATTTGTTCTTCTCTGGCTTCTTTCAGGAGTTTGTCATTGATTTTCTGCAGTGTGAAAATTATACGCTTAGGTACAGTTTTTTGGCATTTATCCTATTTGGTGTTCTGTGAGATTCCTGTATCTGTGGTTTTTCACTTGACATTAATTTGTGTAAATTCTCAAACCATTATTGTTTCAAATACTGGGTAGTTTTTCTATGCTTTCCTTTCTTCTCCTTCAGGTATTCTTATTATGTCTGTTGTGCCTTTTGTTTTTGTTCCAAAGTCCATGGATATTCTGTCCAGCTTAAGGAGGGTATTTTGTTTTATATTTTGCAGTACTCGGGATTGAACTGAGGCCCTTGAGCCTCCTAGGCAAGCACTTTCTACTCTGTCCAGCTCTCTGTTTTTTCCCAGTCTTTGTCTTTTTGTTTGTTTTGTTTTGTTTTTGGTGTAGTACATCACAATTCTTACTAGTTTTTGAACAACAGACATCCCATTTCCATTTGGCACTGGGCCCTGAAAATTACATAGCCTTTCCTACCTACAAGGCTTATACATGATATGTAATTTTAATTTGGGGGAGAGAAAGAATACATAAAGAGGAAAGGGAAAAATTTGTAACATGTACCATACAAACTCAACAAGGGAATGGCATAACTTTTTTTCCGTTCTATGTCCTTAAGGTCCATCATTTTATCTTTATACCTCACAACATACAATGTTTCTGTGAGCTTTTTAAATGGGTTGACCTCATTGATTATCACCATCTAGAACTGTTACTGTCTGGTGTGCTATGGCCAACAGGACAGTGGGAAGGCTTTTAAATTTCTTTATCAAGGCTTTTGACCTCTGAAATGAAGTTAAATTGTCCAGACCAGTGACGTGAACCTTCTACAGAGCTTTCAGTGATACGAAGGGCCTGCTGTGGCATGAGCCCATCAATTCACCACCACTGGTCTAGGCCTAGGTTTTCAAGTTCTATTCCAGAGCCTGAGGGTTTCTCAGAAGCTCCTGGAGAAAGAGGCTTGCAACAAGAGGTGTTGGCCTCCACTCTGGCATGGCACCTTTGGTTCCCCAGCTCATACTTAAAACACAGGACCAGAGCCCATCTGATTTTACATGTTGGGGACCTGAGAATGTTTCTTTTTCAAATGGTTCTGTTGCTACAATTGAAATTCCAAAGCTGCTTATCTAAACTGTACAGTTACCTTCATAGCATGTAATTAGAGATAGTTGACATACAGTGGCCTGGGGAGGCCTAGGAGTTTGGTTATTAACTTCCATGGCCCCATAACGGCTTCTCTTTCAGACTGAATGTTTTGCTCATTGCTGTGTCATTCACAACAACAAAGATTAGCTGTCATTCATTGAGTTCCCAATGTGTGTCAGCTACTGTGTCCAGTAGAAAAATGACTAAATGATGGTAAACACAGCAGGATAGGATGGTATGGCACATGTGAGGAGCCACAGCAACATCTGCTTCTGCAGCACAGCACATGAGCAGGGAAGGGCAGGCAAAGCGTGGAAAAGGGAGAAAGAAGTCAGGGCCTGGAGGAAAACCAATCAGGAATGCCCGTGTGTTATTCCATTGCAGTAAGGGAGCACATCTATTGAGTAGTTAGCGTGTCCGCTGCTGTCCTAGGTGGCCTGTGTGCTCCAATCATCAAATCATGACAGTAAGGAAGATTCTCAGCATCCTCACTTTACAGATGAGACATGGAAATGTCATTTGCTCAAGAGTGCACACTGGTAAATAAAACCTGTAATCAGCCTGACTGAGCCGTACCTTCAGCCTCTGAGCTATTCTGCCTCACTCTGTACCTGACTTCTGTCACTTATTTCATGTGCATTTGTATTTCTAACATATTGTCTCTTGGTTATTCTCTAAAGGGACAATGTTTTACCTTTTAATGTTTTCTTTTTTCAAACTGGGACCTAGCAGCCAGAAATTCCCTTGAAGGTCTATGAGAATTTTCTCCTCAGAAAACAATCTAAGAAAAATGTGAGCAGTGCCTGCCTGGCAAGTACAAGGCACTGATCTCAATTCCCAGTATAAAAAAAAAAAAAGAAAGAAAGAAAGAAAAGAAAAAAGTGAGAACTATTTCTTTAAATCCCAGAGATAGGTGAATCTAAAGGAGCTGAAAAACACATCTGTCAGAGTACTGAATTGCATCTTCTCTCTCTGCTTTAGAACCAGACAAAATACAAAATCTTCACTGCCGCCCTCAGAACTCAACGGCCATTGCCTGTTCTTGGATCCCTCCTGATTCTGACTTCGATGGGTATAGCATTGAATGCCGCAAAATGGACACCCAAGAGATTGAGTTTTCCAGAAAGCTTGAGAAAGAAAAATCTTTGCTCAACATCATGATGCTGGTACCCCATAAGAGGTACCTTGTATCCATCAAGGTACAATCAGCCGGTGTGACCAGCGAGGTGGTTGAAGATAGCACCATCACAATGATAGATCGTAAGTGTCTCTGTGGATTTTCTGGGGTCTCCTGCCACACGGGTAAGGGTTCTGCACCTTCCTCTAGCCCATCTGTCTCCACGACTCGTGTGCATACAGTTAACTTGTACATAAGCTTGTATTATTGTCACTGGGAGAAGAAGACCCAAAAGGCTCCGGAAAATGGAAACATTTTTATGCTGACAATAAACAAGTTAAATGATTTCAAAGTACCTGAATGAGTTAGTATTTAAACACATCACTTTGCCTGTTATAGTTAGAGCGATAATGGAGCTTTTAAGCAATTTGATGCCACGACTTCAGGAAATCCTGCTGGAGAGCTGCCTCTTTCATTATGTCTAATGTGCCACTGGGAAATCACAGTCTCTGCTTGCTTCCTTTCAGGGAGGGGAGAATTTCTTGATCACAAGCTTTAAACACACACCCTTTCTCTCTCTTACACACACACACACACACACACAAATCTGGGGTCGGTGTAAATGACTGGAGACCTTTGTTCTATTACTTGTTTAGGAAGTAAAAGCGGCACTGTGACCCCTGTTGGTTCCTCTCCCACCTCTTTTCCAGGCCCTCCTCCTCCACCCCCACATATTCGGGTGAATGAAAAGGATGTGCTAATTAGCAAATCTTCCATCAACTTTACTGTCAACTGCAGCTGGTTCAGTGACACCAATGGAGCTGTGAAATACTTCACAGTGGTGGTGAGAGAGGCTGACGGTAAGTTAGGAAAGAGTTACTGAACTCTGCTTAGTACCCAGAGTTGACTTCTCAAAGGCTGTGTGGGAGTTCCTTCTGTGACAAGTTCTCAAGAGTACTGACTTCAAGTTTTGTGTCATTTAGCTCTGTCTCTGTTGGATACAAGAAGACGTAGCTAAAAACTCCTCCAAGGCTCTTTTAGCAATCAAGCTTATTATCCTTGGGGTTTAATTAATAAATAGGAGAAGAGGAAAAAGATAGCAGCTATAATAATAATAATAACAATAGCTATTCTTTACTGAGTTCTATTTGATAGGCATTGTTGGAAATGCTTTGCATTTATTGATCAGTAAAATCCTTTTCACTAATCATCAGTCTTACACACCCACTCTAGGACCATATGTGCCAGGAAAGCACTACCACTGAACTATATGCCCAGCTTGTTACTCATAAATGGTATTCACTGCTCTTTCATTCTACCATTAAACAGCAATGTGTCTTAATTCTCTTCATCCCTCTGTCTCAAATACCTAGATTGACCATACACACTCAAACCACCTACCTATTCACAAAAATAGCCAAAATCTTGACAGAGGGAAAACTTCATGAAGAACATTTCTCCTTTCTTCAGTAAATTTTGAATAGTATATTTCATTCTCTAGTTTCCTAAGTTCCTGAGTGACTACCTAATTCCCACAGGTTAGACAAATACTAAATAAAAGTTTTGCAACATTCCATACAACCATTCAGTGTGATTTTTAGAGCTTATTATTACATATCTATAGAGTATTTGTCAAATGACTATAGGGGTGTTGTGTCTGAGCTATGTATGTCTCTGTATGCATTTGTCATTGAGGCCTTAAATATTAATTCTCCAAGAGAGATGCTTGTTCCTGCAATGACATGAATACGTTTTACCTTCTTTATATTTTAAAAAATTACTTAAGGTGCCACACCTGAGTTTCTTAAGCATCTCTGACAATTTTGACTAATTTGTGGCCAACGTAGAAACTTTAAACCCAACAAACAGTGGAGTGATTTCCAGGCTACATGATATTTTAGTTTCATTCTGAGTATCTAACAATCCATGTGCTTTACATTTTATTTAATTGTGCTAAACTTGGTTATGCAATTACCAAGTGATTTCAAAGTGCATCCAGATTTCCTTATACTTCACAACTGAAGATAAATTTGTAAACTATGGAAACATTACTTTTAATTATGCAAGAAGATAATGTTTTACTTCATGAATATAAGGGAGTGACAAAAAGGAAGTCACACCCCTGAAAACAGCCAGTGGGTTTGCATTGTGTCCACAGAGGTGGGTTACAATCCCCTGTGACCATCTCCTATAAATGTCATGTATAGAATACACACTCATCCTAAGGTAACACTGCTTTTCAACTACTGTTATTTCCAGAAGTACAAATGTTTGGCCAAAGAACCAACCAAATGTAGGAAGTTATCTGTCATCTGAGTCTTAGATTTGCTTGTCAGAAGGGAGTTTTGCTGGCTAGAGGCTATGGAAGAAGGGATATATGGGAGGAGAGGAACTAGGGAATCTTTGAAAGGTGGCTTCAGGGTTTAGGCAGGGTACAGGGACTTAAGGAGGGGGGACCAAAGTAAAGAAAACCCCATAAACATTTCTTCCTGGGAAGTTTCTAAAATGGGAGTTAGGAATGTAATGTTACAAGGACCTTAGTTCTTGAAGTTAATTCCTTCTTCCTTATACACCAATCTGCATTGTCAGCCATGGCATAAGTAAAAGACTGATTAACTATAAAAATAATAATATTTTTAAATCCACTGATTGTGAGCAATTGTTATTAAATAAGAGTCCAGGACGCTGTGATGAATCCTACAGTACCACTCCCTGAAGTTCATTATAAATGGTATCTGATCTCCATAATATTTATCTTCCTAATTATGCTTTTCTCCAACCAAAATCAAAACTAGTTCATAGTGCCAAAACACACAGCAGGCTGGATAGACAAGGGAAGAGTTCTGGAAACTGCTCAGAGGGAGCCAGGATTAAGCTGTACTCAAGATAATAAAGAGCCACACATAGGGCAATCATCAGACTGGGCATGGCATGTGGATCATGCATTGTGGAACAACTGCTGTGACCTGGGATATGATTTCTCTTATCTCTTCCCTACTTCCAAGGTCAGGGGGATTTCCTTATTAGCTCAACTACAGTGGCTGTTGGCTAGGTAGAGAGCTTACTGAGTGAGTTGACTGTCCCAGTGGAGAGTTATCCAGTTTGCTGGTGTTGGTTGATACATTATCATTTGGTACAATGAGACACCCTCATTTTATTTCCTAAAATAATGATTATATACATGTGCATGTATGATTTTTATTTTAGAAAAAAATAAATTAAAATTAATTTCACAGCATCCTTTTAGATCACAGAATCTGTATTTTGGGATGGCGAGAGATAGTGCCTAAGAAGGGAGCCTTAGGAAACTAGTTAAATGCCCCTGAAATCATTCAAGTCACAAGAAAGGCAGACTTTAATTTTGGGTTTTCTCCTTCAGGCAGTGATGAGCTGAAGCCAGAACAACAGCACCCTCTCCCTTCCTACCTGGAATATAGACACAATGCCTCCATTCGAGTGTATCAGACAAATTATTTTGCCAGCAAATGTGCCGAAAGTCCTGACAGCAATTCCAAGAGTTTTAACATTAAGCTTGGAGCAGAGATGGACAGCCTAGGTGGAAAATGTGAGCCCAATCAGCAAAAATTCTGTGACGGACCTCTCAAGCCTCATACTGCCTACAGGTTAGATACATTACCATCACTTTACTACAAGAGACATGCTGTATTACTCAGTGCTCAGTTGTCTGAAACATCTACTGCCTGTGAGTTCCTGTAAACTAATAGCCTATGTTACAAGAGTACTATATATCTTCCTGGGTAATTTATAAAAGTCGGGTTCCTGCCTCCATTCACAGGCAATGTTTAAAGAGGGTTTTCAGCCTTATACAAAAACCATTATTATGTGAGAATGAAAACTTTTAACAGATCATTCTTTCTCCTACAACTTCTTTAATATGAGTCAAATGGTTTATAATGTTAACAACTGTGAAAATATCCAAAAAGACTGAGTTTAGGGAAGTCCAAACAATATGAGGTGATGGTTTCCATTTTTAATGAGGGATAAGATTATACTTATTTTCCCTGTGAGGTGTGCAAAGAAGAAAGTGCTCTGTTTTCCAGGCAAAACTCTTAAAAGGAAAGGGCCTCTGAATGAGTGGGGACACATTTCCCTCCCCCTGAGATGGCAGACCAAAAAGTAGCTGTTTGACCTTGATTTCAGGAAGTACCACTGCAACCAACAGGCCCTTCCGGTCCTAGAGATGAGTGATCTCTTTTCTGCACTGTTTCCACTTAGCAAGCATAAGCAAAAGTACATGGTATCCCAACCAGAGTCCTCAAGAGAAAGGAAACCTGGGCAATTGTCTGGGCTACAGGCATCTAAGATTATTACTTTTGCAGAAAATATGCCTTCGTTCTTGGGTGTTGCCAGAGCTGGTATGCAGCCACTATAATAGCCAGTCAGGTTCTCCGTGGGCAGTGTCCATTCTGGTTGGTCAGTGCCAAAGTCATATTGACTCAGTAGATAAAATTCTTCTGTCAGTTCCAAGAGGAGACCCTGACATAGCATCACATTCAAGAGAGCTCTTGGCCACTGCTTTACATCAACAAAGGCAACCAATTTCCCTAAAACAAAAGACTCATTTTGCGGGAGAACTCTGCATACCTACCTCTGCCCAGGACTCACTCAAGCTTGCTGTTACCTCCCGGTCAAGGTCAGCACCTCCAGAGTAAACACACACAAACTTACTAGTTGTATTTACCTCAAGATGAGAACATAAGAGCCTATTTGAAGGAGACAAGGTCTCAAAGGAAAAAAGAAATAAAATAAATCCTTCAGATCAGAAAACTGCAATTCTTCAGTTCCTATAAAAATCAAAAGAAGCCTCACGTCCTTCATTACTTGAGCTCAAGAAATCTAAACAAATGTCCATCAAGAATCATTTTCTCTTTTAGAGATGGAAAATTGAGGTTTTCTGGCTCATTTACATGTAGAGAGCGAAGAGTTCACATTAGTCCATCTTTCTCAGAGGGGCATATGTTCCAAGGCCTCAGAGTCATACAGCAAGTGAGACCAACGAGACAGGCACTCACAAGAGACCAAAAAGGCAAGCACAAACAAAGCTTTATTGGAGAGCCGTTGGATGGGCAATCTCTGGTCAGAAGCCAGAAAAGACGTCCGCACCAATCTGGGTCTCACCTTTGGTTTAAGTACATTTATAGGTTTCCATAGTAACCATTACCCCATTTTGGGGAATTTTACAAGAATGTCACACAATTATCACAAGGTTTACCTTTCCCAGAAGCTGTTGGACAGCCAGATTCCAGATGACCATTGTAGTTTAACTTTTAACCTGCTTCCCAACCTGTCCTGTTTGTTCCATTGCATTTTGTGACTCTGCTCTCTTTTAAGTGGATTGATAACTAACCAAGGGGAGGGGGTGGAGAGTGGGGTCAACTACAGCATAAGTGAACTTAAGTGACTTCTCTTAATATGGAGTTAAAAAAAGAAAATAGAGTTTCTCTTGCCCTATCAAGAAGACAACTAAAAATGTGGATTTATAGTGAACCCTGTAATTTGATGTGTGTTTTCCAGTCTTAGCCTAGCACTTGTCATGCACCATGCTGTAACTTTTGTATTTTGAGATGTGACAGCAAAACTAATACAAATTCCTTTTCCTTTCTGCACAGTTTTACAAAGAAGTTTGTTCTTAGCAACGTCAGCATACCGTTTTTTTGTTTTGTTTTGTTTTTACTTTCCTTATTAAGACTGGAACTTTCCCATTTTAACTAAAGAAAACACTTCATAGCTTTTCTTTGGCATACCTGTATTACAGCATTACTACTCTTGCACTTTGGGGCCATTGTTAAATAAAATAATGGTCACTTGAACACAAGCACTGTGATTCCACAACAGTTAGTATCATAACAAGATGACTACTAGTGACTAAAAGGTGGGTAAACATATACAGTGGAGAAATACTGGACAAAGGGATGATTTATGTCCTCAGTGGGACTGAATGTGAAGTGTAAGATTTTGTCACACTACTCAGAAGAGCACACAATTTAAATTCAGTGAACTGTGTTTTGTTTTGTTTTGTTTTGTTTGTCTTTTTGAGACAGGGTCTCACTATGCAGTTCAGGCTGGCCTTGAGCTCACTTTGTAGCCCAGGCTGGTCTCGAACTCGCAATGATCCTCCTGCCTCAGCCTCCCGAGAGCTGGGATTACAGGCGTGCACCACCATGCCCAGTTCAATGAACTGTTTATTTCTGGAGCTTTCTATTTAATACTTTTAGAAGGATGTGGAGTATGGGTAACTGAAACAGCAGAAAGTGACCCTGTGAATAAAGGAGGGAAAAACTGTACTGCATTTCACAGAGAAAGCAAGTGAGAAACTATGTAAACTTATTATTTCTGGATCAGAACCTGCCAATAACATGACACACATCCTTTCCTGTCCACAGTAGCTACTGATGTCTTTGGAAGCATCCCAGCATTTGAGTTCCAGCTCTGCTACTTCCTAGCTACGTAACTTTGTGAGCAGCATTCCAGCTGTCTCATCTTTGCTCTCATCTTCAGCTCATCACAAGGCTGTCTTGAGGGGTTAAGTGTAAGGCAGATTGAGTCTTGCTGTGTACCTTCTAGATGAAGAGCTTCTTGTGATCACTGTTCACTTATAATAGCTCATCTCCTACCCTTCGCACCAGTGCACCCTTCCCTCTTGCCAGTTCTCACTCCTCCAGATTCCCTAGGTGCAGCACAGCGCTCTTCCACCCCTGGCCTTTTCCACCTTCTTTTCACTCTCTTTAGGACCCTTCCCACTCTTCTCTGGCTGGCTCTATTCCTGCATGTACCTGTGCTTTTTAAACCTTGAGCCAATATCTGCCTTGTTCACTAGACTGAGAGAACTCACAGTCTGACAGGAGCAACAAGCATGTCACAGGACAGAGAAAATTGTATTGACTACTTGGCACAAAAGAGGTGCTCATGAAATGTTGATGAATGAATGAAGGAGGGAGTCAAGACACTCTGAGAAAGCTACACACTTTTGTCGTAACCAGCTCACGGTGTGCATACTTCTCTTCTAGAACATGTACACCATCTTTCTGAAATATATGTTTGGTTCTACCTGTTAAGGACATGCCAGGCAGACACTACCTGATAAGGGAAGGCATCACCTTTCAAGTCAAAGCACATGAGAGCCACATACTAAGAAGCCTCTTGTATGGTGGCTGCCGAATATGCTCTGGTCTAGCCAGAATAATTCTGCCTGTCTCAAGATGGTAATCACTGTGGTGACCCCAGACACTGCCAGTGTGTTTTTCCTTTTAAGGGAATAAGTAAATACATAGGAAATAATACAAAAAAGAGAAACATTGGGATTGAAAAAAATGGCAAATACCAGGTTTAGATGATATGCAAGTTTATTTTGTCAATGGCTGTAGTATATTTTCATTCATTGTTGGGTTCCTATTATCTATGCAGCATTAGCATTGTTTCATGTTGAAAGGGAAATAGATCATCATGATAAGAGGCAATTTGGAGGTCAGGAAAATGCAGGTTTGGTTTTGTTTTTATTCTAAATGGAATAACATGGTGGCCACAGTAAGGTGGTCAGGTTCCTTGACCTCACTGTCCTCAAATGAAAAGAAACTGAACCATATGATCTTTAACTTTCTGCTATAGAATTCTGACTTAAATTAAAATTACATATCAATTCCTGAACTTCTCATTTAATACACAATGACTTTTTGTTGTCCTTTGAAGACGTTTTCCAATATATTTCCAGGATCTTTTAGAAATGCATATTCTGGAACCAATAACATTCATTTTCCAAGATACAATTGGACCTGTGTATGTGTTGGAACAAGGGGGTGAGAAGATCAGAACTACTTGTCCTGGCTCGGGACTGCTCCAGCATTATCACAGCACATGCCCAGATTCTTCGGTTTTGTTTTTTTTTTACCTTTTTGAGCAGGGTTTCATTATGCAGTTCAGGCTGGCCTTGAACTCACTTTGTAGCCCAGGCGGGCCTCAAACTCACAGCAATCCTCTTGCCTCAGCCTCCCGAGTGCTGGGATAACAAGTGTGTGCCACCACACCTGGCTAAAAAGGTTTTTTTTTTTAAATAAGAAGAAAGAAGTTTTCCATTTATGTTCATAGAATTAAATTAACACTAGCAGAAGTTGCCTTACATAAGCCAAGCCTAATACTCTTTGGTAAACCTATAGTCAAAGAATCTATACTCTATTGGTAAACCTATAGTCAAAGAAATCAAGAAGTCACCCCAAACAGTTTTAATTTAGGGTAGGAGCGCCCCCTTATAACTTTACTGAGAGCGCATTCTCCTTCAGCCTCTGATCTGATTCGCCCTGATGACTGGGAGCTGCTACCAGTGAAACAGCCCAGGCTCTAGATGCTAGAGAACAGTTGTACGTTCCTACACTCCTCCCTGTCTACGACTTCAGCCTACTTCTACCTTCAAGAAGAAAAATAATGACATCTATTTCCTCTTTTATACCACAACTTTGCTTAAATCTGAAATCAACTATCATGTTCTTCTAAGTCTTCTCTGTCATCATCCTGATCACTCACTTCAAATGATTCTAAATTCTCCCTAAAATACACCACCAGAGACTGTGAGTTCAGCCCTCCAGACTGGCTGATTCATGCCAAGAGCATGAGACGTGTCCTATGATGGAATCAGAGGCTTTTTGATCGAACAGAGGTGATATATCTGATGTAGTACTTGTGTCCCACTTGCTTATAGAATTTAGGACCAGCTGCTCCTCAGGTCCTGTCCAACATGGATAGATGGGCAGGAACTTCAGCAACTCTCCTGTCCGCTCATCATCCTTCCCATCTAGCTCCAGTTTCCGCCAGAGTCTTGCATCTGAAGCTCCCGCTACCTGGAATGTGAACCTGCTTTCTCCCTCTCTTTCCTCAGATTTCTATGCATATGTCTTCCTATCAAAGAGCCTTTCACTGACCATGCTGGATAAAGCAGTTTCACACAGTTGGACTTCGTTGCTTTTCATCTTTTTATGCTGCTCTTTTCTTTTTCATAGAAAAAGACATCACCATCTGATATATATTTGTGGATTTTTTGGGTCTGACTTCCTCTATGGGAATGTGACCTCTGGAAGGGGAGGGACTTTATTTTGTTTTGTGTGGTATCTCCGGCTCTGAAAATTGGGACTGGCACACAGCAGAAGTTCAATAAATATTTGATGAGTAGATCAGTGAAAGAATGCATGAACCCAGATCCGTCTGATTGCATAATTTATGTCCCACCCTGTGTACAAAGTTACCAGGTACCCCCCACACTTCTCCTTATACACATTTTTACCCTGTTCAGCCACTAATTTGCACTTACATAAATCTATTTTCCTTTCAGAATCAGCATTCGGGCATTTACTCAGTTGTTTGATGAGGACCTGAAAGAGTTCACAAAGCCTCTCTACTCAGACACATTTTTCTCTTTGCCTATCACCACGGAGTCAGGTAAGGCTCACTTTTCTAGCCATCCCCGTGTCTCCTGAAAGAACTTCTAGAGAAGAGATCTGGTAACTTGTGCAATGATGGGGGAAACAATTATTTTCATTTGTAATTTAATCTTTGTGTGATTGTGGATTGATGTGGATTAGAGAGATTGTACTATTTTTGCAGGAGAATGGACTGGAAGGCGATTACTCTAGAAAATAAGATGAAGGACAAATTTTTTGCTATTAAAAATGAACCCTCCATACCCTAAAACAAAAAACAGAAACAAAAATAAAAACGTAAAGTTTTTAAAAAAAAAAAAAACAACAAAACAATGGGTAAAAGACATTAAAACCAAGTGCTTGTACAGTCAAAATGATATAAAAGCTTTCAGTTACACATTGGAGTGTATATATGCATAGACATTGGCCCTCTGTATCCATAGGTTCAACACTGTGTATCAAAAACAGTAGGGAAAAAAATGTGTCAATACTAAACATGTAGACTTTTTCATGTCACTATTCTCCTAATAGTATAGTGTAAGAGCTGTTGACATAGGATTTACATGTTTTAGGTGTTATATGTAACCTAGAAATGTCTTAAAGTATGTGAGAGAATATACATAGGTTATATGCCATGCTATTTTGTATAAGGAACTTGAGCATCCACAGATTTTGAGATATAAAGGGCATCCTCAAACCAAGGCCCCTCAGATACTAAGGAATAACTGTACACAGAAAAGAAGACTACCCGCCCCCAGTACTTATGATGAATATCTCAACGTAGTGTGACTGAGGCAGTTTTTCCTTCTTTTGCTTACTGTGTTTGCTTTCCTGCTATTTAAAAATGCAAATTTAGAGGGCTGTGAGTGCAGTTCAGTGGTACAGCACTTGCTCAGCATGCGTTAGGGCCTGGGCTCAATCCCAGTATACAAACCAATAATAATATTTTTTAAATGAAACTGTTAAAGCCAGGTGTGGTGGCACACACCTGTAACCCCAGCACTTGGGAGGCTGAGGCAGGAGGATTATTGCAAGTTCAAGGCCAGTCTGGGCTACAAAGTGAGCTCAAGGCTGGCCTGAACTGCATAGTGAGACCCTGTCTCAAAAAGATAAGAAAGAAAGAAGAAAGAGAGAGAGAGAGAGAGAGAGAG